CTTTCACAGATTCGTGATAGATGTGTTGTGGATGTTCATACCTCAGGGCCCGGCACAGATCGTCTAGAGGCAGGCTAGACATCGTTTTTGGGACAAAAGCAAAAGGGACATGGTTTTTGCAGGATCCGGAGCAGAGCTCCGGAAAGAAATGGTACATGCATTACTAGCGAAGCATGTGGAGGAAAACAGCATATACAGTGTGCAAGACATTCAACACACTTTCTATAGCGTCAGAAGCGACCACCCTTTCAAGCATAACTTTGAAATTACTCGATGGGGTGCTCTATCGTGTCTTGCGAAAAGCGCACTCGCTCTGGAAGCAAAGCCAAAACTGACAAGTTGCTTGTTTACAGCGTAGAGACAAGCATATGACACCAAATTTGAACTGTACCCATAGAATATTATTTATGGAAGAACTATGTACAGTCTTTTTTGAGCTGGAGTAGGCAGAACATTCGAAGTGCCAGCGCGTCCGCACCGCCACTGGCTCAGCGAGATAAAACAGAATGAAAAGACGCAGACTTCAAAGCGGCACGAATTGTTGCGAAGCGGACTCCCGCCAGTCCAATTTCCGCTCAAACTGAGTTGAAACTTACTGTAAAAACTTCTGACTTATGTGAAGTAGTACCTTTTCCAAAAGTAGTACGTTTCCAGAGGGCCAACCGACGATCTGAGATCGTCTGGAACATATATGTTTGTAAGTTCACATAAGTTTCTGATCTTTCTGTTATAGACGGATTCCCCGGTCAAGAATTCCTTGAGCATGGAAGAATTTTCATAACGTTGCCTTTCCCTTGTTTTTTGCCTCAATTTCTTCGTAACTCACTCTGTTGAATATCGCGTGCCAGTGCCAAATTCTTATGCATGCGTAATACAGCTCCACTTCCAACTTTCATTCATATTTTATTTTTTTCCTTATAGACTAGTGACTCTTTTATGTTTCCATCTTCTCCTAAGTTGATAGGTGTTGATAGGTTTCCGGGGCCATAGAAAACTTCGTAAAATTTTCGAAAGTCAAGGAGGGGGCTTCGTTTTCAAAAAAAAAAACCTAGACCGACTCGTGCCGGGCCCTGTACACCCATGTTACGGGGAAGGAGCAGCATGGCGAGAAGCAAGAGGTACATTATATCATGTCAGGCTTTTACGTTTGAGAAAGCTTTGCGAAGGAAGTCATGAACGACTGAAGCCACTAGCGCCTGGTTTAGTGGGACCGACAACAGCATTATCGAAAGTGTCATTATCGCACTTTGCAGTCCTAACTATCAGGCTTAAGGCCTTTTTGAATTCTATGTAGTTCCAATGTGCATGCTCTTGTGGAAACGTGCAGTTTCAATTTAAAAACTTCAGTCACTTCAGAGCACATTTTTGCACTTTGAAGCACTGCCTTTTGATTGTAAAACGATGGCAATAAAGAGAAGTTGGAGTAGGAGGCGATATACACAACAGTAAGCGATACAGAAACAGAAACAGGCCGTGTAGTAACAACGTCGAGAACTTTATCAAAGCCGCTTACAACAAAGTGACTGGATGTCACTGCATAGCATGCGACATCAGTAAGCCCCTAAAGGCACAGTCCACCCTACTTTAAGGGTCTTGAGCTTTTGACAGCATATGATATTAGGGTCTCCTATCAAGCCAATGCCCAAGTCGCGCAAAATGTCACTTCGGAGGCGATGAAATCGCTTCGGAATAACGAATGTGCACGAGGACCCCGGACGGCACCGCCCTCCCCATCTGTGCCCGCCCATTCGTGCCCGCTCAGCCAATCACCGTTCCGAGAAGCCGGTCTGCGGGTTCTCCGGAACGTGGACTGTGGGGGGGGGGGGAGTTCGCGGAATCTCAACTTCATATTCGAAAGCGACATGAGAAAGCCCTGGAACGATCAACATGAAAGTCGAGAATCTGGGTGGACGGTGCCTTTAAAGGGCGAAGTATGCACTGGTAAGAGTTCGATAATTTTCTATACTGGGCAGTGGACGATAAGTTGCCGACATATTCCACCCACGCGGTTTCCGTTTAGCGAATCCGAAAATCACGTGAGAGAGTGCAAAAAAGTCAAGAGTAGGCATTTATTATAGCCCTGGATTTTTGGTTTACTCCAGCGGGACAGTTACCGGCAGACGTAGGCGCAATAGTGTTAGGAGCCGCTCTGCCCCTTAATTTTTCCGGGCATGCATATAAAGGTTCCCCTTCACCTGAAATTGAAATTGTGAGTCAACGTATAGCGGCAGAAAACACCTACAATAAGTAATGCATTTCTTGTTTGGAAAAAACGTGCTACACCTCCTCAGTCAGTCTTGTTTCGAAAGGAAACGTGCCACTTCTTGTCAGTCAGTGTATGACTGCATTTCTGATTAACGCCGTAGCAACAATTTGCTGGGTAAAACGCTCGCTTGAGAGTTCCTGTCTTAAAGGCAGTGGATCGACAAAATGGGACCCTGTCAGATTTAGTAGTGTTAGGCAGTAGGCTTCCCAAGTACACCGTAGCCCAAACCCCATCCTCTGTATCACGCGCTAAGTTCTGTAAAGAAGCTTCAAACCCCCACCAGCCCCGCCCACTTCCAATGAATGGGCGTTATTGGCGGAAGTTTTAAGCTTCTTTTCGGGAATAGCGCATAATTTGAAGCGCGAAGTTGGGGCTATGGTGTACTTGGGAGGCCTACTACCTAACAGTACCGAAATCTGACAGGGGTCCATTCTGCCGATCCACTGCCTTTAAGTCGTGGTCATACCGGCAGCGATTTCATTGTCACGATTTCATCGCGGGAAATTTCGTGGTCAAAGTAACGAGATCGCGACTTAGTCGCTGAACATCTTCATGACCATACCTTGGAGATGTGTTGTCACGCTTCAACACGTAATCTACGTACAGTCTGCCTCAATCGGGATCAGGCCGAACCGTCGGCTGAATTTGCGCGCTCGCAGCGCTGGGGGATTGCGCTGCATACGCGCGCTGTCGCAGAGAATGAAGAAATCGAGGAGAGAGCAGACTAGCTAGCCGCAGATGTGGCGCGAAACCCTTGCGGCGCGGACTCCCGCCACGCCGATTTTGGCCTGGTTAGGATTGGGGCAGACTGTACCACGCTGCTTATGAGTGTTGATTCAGCCAAAGGTTTTCCACTGGCAGATTATGCGTGGTTCTCCGAATGTTCAATCTAGATTGTAGGGTTCAGAGTATGAATTAACACTGCACTGCAACGCAATAAAATCTGTTTAGATTATTTGAAGTGACAGTGTTGGCGTGTATTCGCGAAGGCACCTTGAAAGTGTGATGAAGTTACCGCATGTTCACAAAAATGAAATAATGCTCCTTTTGTTCCATAGTGGTTGAAAAAGTGTGAGTGACTCGGTGAAAACTCAGTTCATAAGCCTGGATCTAAAATCTGGCGGACCTTAAACACGGTAAAAATGAAGGCTCGGCGGTTATTTCCGCTCTCGTCGCAATACTGGCATCGCAAACAGAATCCTGGAAAGAGTTTCGAAATTTGCATCGCTTACATATTACAGTATTCTTTTACTTTTACTTCTGCACGAATCCTGTGAGAGTGATAGCTGGTATCAATCCTAAGCAGTGAGAACGAAAAAAAGACTGGTGAAACCGGTCAGCATTTGACTACTCAGTTTTTAAGAAGTTTTTTCGGCATATTGGAACTGTGGAAAAAATTTTGTATAGAAAGCATGATAAAATCGTAGAATCCTTTCTGCGTGTTCTTTTCGTTGAAAAAACCTCTTAAAAAGAACCGCTTGTGCGCTCTTTCAATCTTTCCAATTTCTTCGTAAATCGTGTAAAGGGTTAGGCAGAGGTCAGAGCTCTGAATGTAGTTCACAGGACGACATATTCGATGCCTACAAATTTCTGCCTTTGAAACAGTTCTTGTAAGGAAAAACGACAACCACCTTGAGTAAAAACTTTGTTGTTTGAGAAGGATATCGTACAGCAAATTTGATATCTCAAAGGAACTATTCTATTCTTCTCTTCAATGGCTACGTACTTATCAATAAGAACGAGAAGCTTTTTTCATAATATTGCTTTAAATAGAGAGGTATGGGTATAGTTTAAATCGGTGTCATATGATCGTCATTGTGCTGTGAACAAATCACCTGTTTCTTTTATAATGCAAAGTTTTGTGCGCATGTGAGAGACATTTGAATATGTAATTGTGCACGAAGAATCGTCTTCGAAGCGTACAGCATAACTACCTTTGCATTTTGCCCTAAAACGAAGTCGAGCTTGATTTTATGAACTTGGTGCTGGAATGGGCCGTGACGCTAATTATGCTTGCGGCTTATGCCCGCATACGTTCCTCCATTGGAGAGCGGTGAAACGCTAACTAAAGTACGAGTGAACATTGCAAAAATTATTCATGGAATTGTTGGAACTCAAGTCTTGATTCAACACTTTTTCCCATTTGACAGCAAACAAATTTGTCCCAAGTTTAATGAATTCCGACTGTGGAACATGTTTTGAAGCTCAGAGTATTCAAAGCCAAGAGATTCAATTCTTAAGCAAGAAATATAGTGCCTGACCAAACCGTTTTGCCTTACTGGTTCGTTATTTTTCTCTTATCTGTGTCAAGACAGGAATGTGGAACAGTTTATTTGAACGGATGGATCATTTTTCGAAAAATAAAGTATAACAAGGCTTTATTTAAAGTAGCTGTGATGCATCCCCTGCTTAGATGAAGCCAAACCGCTTCGTTTTGTTGAGGATTTTCTACTTTTACAAATCCCTCATATTTTACCATCTCGCTCACAATCAGATGGCTTCTATTGAGATTGAAAACATCTGCACTAGTTGGTTGGAGGTATATTTAGTAAAAAAAAATTCTGAATTCACACTTTTTCAACTCGAGAAAGTATGGTAGATCTAGTGAGAGAAACTAGCCTAAATAACTTTTAAGTGACTGCGAGTATCATCCTAGTTGCATCGGATTGCGTATGTGCGTACTTTTTTGCTCAATGATGCATTCTGCACTTCAGAGGCTTCTCTCACAAAGTTTTTATGCATTCAGCACAAAAACGCAATGATGAGCTTTATTTTCAGGGCTTGGAAAATTGACTCGATGATCAAGCAAGGTGCCGTTGTTGCTGCTGCTGTTGATCAAACTGAAAATGAGTTATTGAAGATGAGGTGTTTATAAGACATTCCATGAATACAAAATGACAGCAAAAACATACTCATGCGGTATTGTAGAACATAGTCGATTACCCAGATTCTACTATACATTATGACAGGTACAAGATTACCCTCGGACTTGAGAACAATTTTTCCATTGTATTTTTCAGAGCAGAACCTAGTAATGAAGTTATGCAACAAAGTACCAGGTACCAGCATCACTTACCGAGGTCCAGTCAGGCGTTGATCTTTCTGATTCTTGATCTCAACGCCATGCCAAGCGCATCCCTCGGAGGCATATTTCTCTGTAATCGAGACAATTTTCACTTCAATTTTCCTTCCTGCGGGAGCCTGTAGAAGACAGATTTTTGCACTGTTGTTCAGCATTCGTCAATGCTCCAGACCTCTATCCAGTAATAGTGAAACACGTAATCCGTTCTTTCATCGGTTCTACGCACACCCTCATGCCCCACTTTGTCCTCAAGTTTTTGGAAGCTTGTGGTGGCTTTCAATACCTTTCCTGGTCCTGCTGGCTGTAATGCAAAATTAGATCACACTGAAATGAATGCATAAATGCATACCCTTTCGTTACAGAAACGGCCTGCATATCCGTGTGGGCAAGCACATCTTGAGCAATCGCGAGGGCTTGGATATCCACCGTTTGCGCATTTTCCTTGGTTGTACTTTGGACCGGGTAATGGGCTAGATGGGACGTACGGTCCAGGCGCAGGCGCAGGCGCAGCCGTGGTGGTGGTGGTGGTAGTGGAAGTGGGGGTTTTGGGTTTTTTGGAGTGCTTAGGTTTTTTCGTAGGAGCACGTGTTGTGGTAGTTGGACGGCTGGTCGTACTGGCTGGGACATACGGGCCAGGCCCAGGCGCAGCCTTGGTGGTGGTGGTGGTGGTGGGGGTGGGGGTTTTGGGTCTTTTGGAGTGCTTAGGCTTTCTCGTAGAAGCACGTGTTGTGGTAGTTGGACGGCTGGTCGTACTGGCTGGGCGGCGTGTAGTTGTTGTGGTTTCCGTGTAGTCCCAGTCCCAGTTTCCACCAATTGTAAATATCCAGTCGGGAAGTTTGCCACCTATTATGCTGGGTAAGTTCCACCAGTCGCTCCACCCCCCGGTGCTTGAGCCTCTGTCTCCTGGACGAGTCGACTCGCCTTCTTCGCCTTTAAGTCGGCCACCATTGTTGCCGTTCAGATGATTGTTACTCGGACCATTATTACCGCCTTCCATCCCTCCAAGATTACCCATTAAGCGCCCAAAGAGGCTGTTAGTTCCGCCGAGGTGACTAAAGCCATTGAGATTCATGCCAGAAAGGATGCCACTAAGGTCGCCGCCGTTGCTGGTAAAAGTGTGGGTCACAGCTGGACCGTTTCCATTTCTTGTAGTGACAGTCCTAACAACCATCCGCGTTTGTCGCTTGACTCTATCTTGCACGGGTGACTGTTGCACTCCGTCGCATTTTTCTATAACATACTTGCTTGTCTTATATCGTGTTGATTTTCAACATAGTCAACTCACTCAAGCAATCGTACATCTTGTTCATCATAAGTACGTCGTAAAAAGCAATGAATGGTGATCCCAATGTGTCGATATAATTCATGTCTTTGGGTACCATAGTATATGATTCCTTATTAAACTGCTGGGACCAGGCTATCATGCTGCAACAAATCTTCTTTTCGCATGTATACGTAATTATCATCCCACGTAGAGACGAGCGCTGTTGCGTCAAGAAATTTCGTGTAGGGAGAGAGAAGGAAGTGATAAAGGGGAATAGAGAGACTTTGACCTGAAAGATGCCAACAGCGTCTGCATTGGCACCTCGTCTCTGTGTGCGATGAATCGCTTACAACTTCAGGGCACATGCATACCTTCGTGCTCCGTAGGCCATGATACTTCCGTAATCAAAAGGAATGTCATAATTGTTGTTTGATTCTGGTGTCTCCTTGACAAAATTACGCTCTGCTCCTATTTGAACGTGCATTGGATCGATAAAGAGGTAATCATCTCGGTCATGTCTAGAATGCGTATGAAACATTCCAAGCGCATGACCGAATTCATGTACGGCGGTACCAACCTAAATGCAGATACAGGCAACTTCTTTTACATGGTAACTTTTAATTAAAAACAATTGTGAGTGTGGTAATGTGTATCAGGAGCAATGTCCAAAGATATACAGAATATCCCAAAAAGATGTGCCTACTGTTTGATTGTTAATAACTCTCTTGTCGTTGATTGCTTCAAGAAGCTTTAGGTACCGTTCTGTAGAGCTGGCCTTAACTTAGATTTACAGTATGTAGCGAGTTACCGTTCCATTACTGTAGGGTTACGATAGGAACTTTGAAAGGGGTTGTGCTTGAGGGTCATAACCTCTAACAAAAGATAGAGAAAGCTGAGAACTTTTACACTAAGTCAAACAAAGTCGCTGATTCCAAATATGAAGCTCAAAGTTCACCATAATGTTTCTTAATATATGCCAGGTATAACGTAATGACGGATTTCTGATAATCGTCGAAAATCTGATTAGGCGTTCAAAAAACTCCGCGAACACACAAAAACTTATGTAGTCAAACTAGCATGCATGAAAACCTTGTTACACAAATTTTCAGATTTTTTTGGAGAAATTTTTTCGCACAGCCTATCTCACAATGGCGTCATATCCTGCGAGTTTCTACCGTAATATTACAGTAATGAAGGAAGATAGATAAGCGCTCCATACTGTAAATCTAAGTTGATGCCAGCTCTGCAAAATGGTACCTAATCCTTCGCGAAATCATAGTGAGAGAGTTATTACCAATCGAAAGTTGGCACATTTTTTGGGACACTCTGTATTTCATGATTATTTGGCTTGCTCTGCACTGCCTTTGACGCATCCTTTCCATGATTTAACTTTGATGCTTTATATAGGCAGTGCAACAAAGGTAGCGAAGATTGGTATTGCTACACTGAGGACTTCTCTCAAACACTGGCTCATACTATAAAAAGATTATCTTGCAATTTCGCTCACATAATGACATCCTTTTCCAAATTTTATATATTGCACCCCTTGATTTGCAAATCCTATAAGGGAAGAGCACATTTGAACCCATAGGTTAAATTCAACTCGTTGTTCCGCTGAAAAGAATAAAATTGGAAATTGAAAGCACAACTTCAATCTCACCTTTATCGTTCTCAACAAGAGTCACGCAAGTATCCCTCATCCAGATAGCTGCCGCTTCTCTGACGATGCTTTGTACCCTACGATCTAGCGGCATCTTCGTTTAGCTTGAAGTTTTGTAGTATATTGAGCTTACCTGCACCGGCAGGCACTGCATAGTACAATACGCCATTTGGCCAAGGAACATAGAAATCATCCCATCTCACTGCTTGTCGTTTATTTCTGCTCAATTCCTTAGCACCTTCGTTTTGTGCAATCATTTGCACTTCTTCATTCGCAAGCCTTTGCGCTTGTTGACTAAAAGTGATATTAAGAAAAGCACTTGACTAAAGCTCGAGCTCATACATTGTTAGCTCTATGTCACTCTGGTACAAGAGATTCCCTATCGGCGACTGCCTGTTGACATAATCTATACTTTCGCTGACATTAGTGTAATGTTGTAGTGGTACGAAGTCCTGTAAAAACTTTTTTTTACTCGCCAAAACATTTACCAATCGCTATGAGCGAGTCCCTTAACCGACCTCCTCAATTCTATGCAAGGTTAGCTCCTGCTGTGGACTTAGCCGAAGCAGGTTTTTGACTTCGTTATCGTGCTCATGTATGATTTCGTGAGCGGCAAGAATCTCAGACTTCTCAGCCTGGCTCAAAGTCTAGAATATATCTTATAAGGGTTGAACGTGGTTGATAAACTTGTGTTAAGCTCACTTCGGGTGATTCACTCAGCGCCTTTCCGATAAAGCCGCTTGCTAAGCTGCTGCCAATAAATATGAGTACTAGCAGGATGTTTCCCATCTTAAAAGGTTCTAAATAAAGGAAAGCGGTATATGGACTTTGATGCACAAGAATCTGTCCCTTATCTACTTATATGCAAGGAACAATCTGTATATAAGTCTCTCTGATGCGCATCTCTCATATCGTGTCATTTCATAGAGGAGAATTTAACTTTGGATTCAGGTGACCAAGGCTTTGCACACATACACATCGAGAAATTACTCCAATGCATACCGTCATAGACCCACGGAGCAGTGGCAAACCCCCATTCCCCCGTACCCCTCCCAGAGTGGTTCGCGAAACTTTTAAAGGCTTTTTACATGAGACAAAAATATGCAAGCGACTTGTTTACCTTTTATTTAGAGTCATTTTCAAGATTACTCCCAGATACTTAAATCAGTCTTGTAATAAATTTTTTCTTGGCTGAGAGATGGGCCCGTAGAAATTTTGGCAAGCTTTTTAAAAAAGTTGTGGAAGTGTGTTGCTAACGCCACGTACACGCGCCTCAAAAAATTTTGTCTTTCCCCTCCCCCGGCCCCCGAGCATAAATCTTGGGACTGCCACTGCCACGGAATATCAATTTCAACGCTATTTTTACAACGAAGCCAGGAATAGGCGGTTACGAATAGAATATATAAAATAAAAAATTTTCCCCTTGTATAACATTAGCGATTTAGAGGATCAAGCGATTTGGTAAACAAGCTAAAATTGCTGATATCAGTAAGTGCTATACCCAATTCTTCAACATCAGAACTGATATAGGGTTGGGCAGTTAAGGCAGATACGAGTTGGAAAGGATATTGCCTATCTTTCTTGATTATCGCTAACATCTATCTGGAAGTTGAAATTGGCACGAAGAGAAGCCGCTTACAGATACAAGTCAATGTGTTAGAATAATGAGCTTATGGTATAGTGCCCCTACGGATTTTTGGCAAATTTATTGGGTAAAAGAAGTAGCAAGTGGAAGTATGGAATTGGCAACTACTTGCCAGTCTGACAAACCCGGCGCTAATTGGAATTTATAAACACAGTTTCAATGTACTCTTGTTGATTCAGAAATCCCTATACCATATCAAAAATCCTGCAGCAGTACTTACAGTCGTCGTTCAGTGCCAATCAACACAATCTTGACACAGTCTTTCCATACATTTTATGTAGGAACAGCTTCGAACTAACTGTTTGGTTTAGTAGGCAAATGAAAGTTCACTTTCGGAACTCCTTTGCTTTACTGCTGTTTGCGATGTATGTTTGCCTGTTTCAGAGTACACTAAAGGTTCATATACTCACTGAATAATCAGATTCACCCAATGACCATGTGTCCACAATCTACGTTAACAAATTTATGTTGAAATGTTCTTACTAAATCAAACGGTTGATATGAAAATCTAATACAGTTTGAAAGTTCATTTTCATTATCCCTATCAATAAGTTCTTATTTTAAATCTGCCGATTAGACGAAATCGTTTGACTTCAGGAAGGGAAACCAGACGTTTCAGACGTATGTACCCATTGATTGATTGCTATTAACTCTCTTGCCTTGTAACTTTAACCGAATGGATGTCATTGATAGTACTGGCTTCTAGAATTGCAGTAAGGAGGGAATCACCAATCGCTTTTTATTGTTGTAGCATCAGGTCAAGAAATTTAGTTTATAGAGCCATTGTGGATCATCCGTGTCCTGTGCAGACCACCATATTGTGTTCAAAGGCAGTCAACAGTGAATCGGCAAAATGGACCCCTCTCTGATTTTGGTGGTGTCAATTAGTAAACCCCCAAGACACAGTAGCCCTAACCCCCACCTGCCAATTCATGTGCTAATTTCTGAAAATTGCGCTTTAAAACCCACCGAACCCGCTGCTTCCATTTGTGGGAGGGGTTGGTGAAGTTTTGAAGAGCATTTTTGTGAACTTAGCGCATGAATTGGCAGGTGGGGTTCAAGGTTTGGGCTACAGTGTTCTTGGGGGGGGGGGGGGGCAGGTCTACTACCTACACGACCAAAATCAGAGATGGGTCCATTTTGTCAATCCACTGCCCTTAACCTAAATCCTACGCCAATCTTCATTGCTTCTGGGAAAGACTAACACGTCATTCCTTTGCGGAGCAGTACTAATCCAATCAATCCACACGCGTGGAATAACTTAAACCTGAGTTTTGTAAGAAATCTATCAGAAGGTCAAATAGGGAGGATAAAGTGATGACTGAGCGCGGTGCCCAAATTAGTTATAAAAGCCATGTTTTGAGTTTTTTTTCTTTCCAGCTACATATCTTGCTTGTAATGAAAGGAAAGTTATATTTGCTACTATCAAGAACGGATCGAGAGTTTTGATATGTCATTTCGTTTCTTGTCAGATCTAATCACAGAGATACTAATAGAGCACTTCATTCTTCAATAAATCTCAAATTTCCGCGGAGTTTCCTATAGTCACGAAACGGACTCTCTTCAGGTTCCCCGATCATTACATAGGTTTCAGGTCCAGACTGAACAGTCGGAGCGTTCGCGTGCGCTTGCGGACTCTCGGTACTCTTGGAAGGAGGTTGAAATTTTGACCATTGAGGTAGATATCCGAGTGAAGTGTCGTCAAAATAACCCATCAGAATCTGAATTACAACCGGCTAGAAAGCGGCATAGGGCTAATAGCCTTCCTAGCCTTTAAACCAAGACAGCTTCACCAGATCTTGCTAGATAAGCCATAGAAGCTCCTTTCTACCTTGAGCTAGCCACAATCAACAAGCTCCTGCACCAAACAATGTATAGGGCATAGAAAGTGACTATGGCGACCGCGGGCTACATGCACGCTACTTTTGTAAACCGCATTTTCTTGATTTTTATCTCTAGTAGAATGGTTGTTTTTGCTTACGTATGATAGTATTTAGACACTGGAAGTGACTGAGCAGAGCGAGGTGATGTCTACTTATATCAGCGTTTTATGCCCTTGTGGACGCAAAGTCCGCGGTCAAATCCGTCGTCACGACTTTGTAAATACACCTACACTTGCTATATCGGTACCGTACCTGCCTTTTACTAGAGCTTGGCGCTACCATGGTACAGTCGAGTAGGTTCTCCGCTTAATATAGTGTGCTTGCACAGTTTATGAAATGCGGTAAAATTTGCTCGTGAACAGGTAGCTGCGCCAGCACTGCCGGCATTTTGCGCGCGCAACTGACCGGCGTCACGGTCGAAGCCATTTCCTCACGCGCAAATTTTACCGCATCTCACCTTCTGTGCAAGCACACTATATTAAGCGGAAAATCTACTCGACTGTATGAATGACGCCAATCTTGCACTTGTTTTCAAAAACATAAACTGAGGTAGTGCGATGGTTTGTAAAATCTGCTTCAAATCGGTTCTTCGTTCTGACACTGACCGCAGAAGCGTTCGCAAGGAAAGTGAAGGTGACCATCTTCTCATATATAAAACTGTGCGTCTGTTCTATCTACCTGTCAATATAACTGTACTTATGTTCTGAGTAGAAAATTACACATTTAAAACCTATCCGAAGCAAACTTCGCACACATACGCTTTGGTGCGGGGAGGGTTTCGCACTTCATTGGATCCATATCAATTTTATGTACTTTATGCGAACTCTGAGAGCTAGGAGTTGACCCAGGGCTCGGGCATGTTATTACGAATATTTATTTATTTTTAATATAATAACCATTTGTAAAAATATTTACTACCTTCACCGATTTCATCGATTTTTCGTAAACTTTGGGCTACGAGAGTGAACGTTTGCATAGGTAGGTAGTGGGCATGCTAATTACACATATAGGATGTCCCAAAAAAGTACACACTCAGATTGTTGATATCTTTCTGCTCACAGTGTGTTCCCTGGCTTCAGGTACCAATCTTTAGAGCAGGCTTTAATTTATAATTAGTTGAAATGAATCACCCACTACTCTTCACTACTATAGTATTACGGTAGGAACTTCCTACATACTGCGGCTATGTGAAGGTCGTTTGACTTAAAAAAAAAACTCCAAAAAATCTATAGAGTTGAGTAGCTGTGTTTTTATACGCGCTGATTTTATTACACAACTTCCCAAACGCTTTCAATAAACTAATCACATTTTCGACACTTTTAAAAACGTTGTTTTGGTTTACCGGCGTAACTTATAGAGAAGACCTTACGACGGGAATTTTATAGTCATATTTAGTGACTCTGTTCACCTTAATGACCGAGTTTTCAGCTTGTTGAGAATTCATTTTGAGGAAAAGTGTGGCTATTGATGGCTCAAAACCCTCTCCATCCTACCGTATTCCTACAATGATGACGAGAAATTGGTGAGTGGCGCTCTACTGTACTGAGGTGAAGCCTGCTTTACCAAATGGTACTGAAAGCTAAGCAAAAGGCTTTGTGGGGAGAGAGATATCAGCGATTAAAAAGTGTGTGCGTAGCTTTGGACACCCTAATAAGTATTTGTAGAAACACCCTTTCTTTCAATCGATCTTTCGATTATTTACAAACATTAAGCTACGGGGTGGGAGTTGGCGTATCTTCATATTCGATGAAATGATTCGTAGAGACCGAGTAATAGGCTTCAGAGTGCTGTTATATCTCAGGAAGGTCACAGATCATCATAAAATGGCATTGCGCCATATTGCATGCGCATTTTGGTACACAAAGGCAGTGTCCCGGCAGATTCTCGCCCGAGGGATACCGCTGACGCGGGGTTTCTGGTCACCCTACCTATAGGCCCAGTCCGGGGATAGGGGAACGAAGACCGCCAGGGCCGCCTCCGCGGACTGCTGGTCCTGGAACGACCTGCAACAACACTGCGAAGGGATCAGTTGGCCGCGAAAGGCGGCTCAAACCGGCGGCTTTAGTTCCCCTACCCCCCAGTCCGGCTGGTTGATGTTCCCCCGCGCCGAGAAAATAGCCCTCGAAGCGGCTTTGCTTGCCTGTTCGGCGTAGGACCCCACGGCCGGCCTCCCAGTGCATGCTAACCAAAGAAAATATTGGAGGCGACAGAGTCTTCGCGCCGGAGCCTCCCAACTTTTTATTGAGATTCTCGTCTGAGCT